GTGTAAATTCCAGAAACGAGTCATCACGCTCCTTCGTCCTTCGTGATCCATAAATCATTCGAACACCTCTCACCAATTCGCCGTGGAGAAGAGCAGTCGGATACCACACTGGTCCAGAAATCAAATCCCCACCCCAATCAAAATCTACCAACATGATCTTTTTAGGGTTCTTCTTGTTGATGATCAAAATTGCGTCTCGAGGGTCTCCGTGCACCCATCCCTTTCTATGAAAGGCACCCACCAATTGCCTGAAATCCTTCAACCACTTCCCAAGGTATTTTGATAAATAACACTCAATTTTGGATTCTTCATTATCAATCCATTCTATCATGACAACATGCCACCCATAGCCATAGCCTAGTAGTTCAGGTGCAAGACCATCCCTCACACAAAATTCATGAAAGTGCGGGAAGTATCGTCGCGTGAACTTGACGATGACCTCATGTTTGCTTTTGATGGCAATCGCCATGTAGATGAACTGATCTGGATATCAATTTCCACCTTCTGATATGCCTCTCTGTAAATCATAAAGTTGAACATCCCAGGACCAGGAATGGCAGGAACCTGACTGAATAAAGGGAAATCCCCTTGAAGCTTGCACTTCAGGGGGTTGGCATTGAATTTCTCTGTGGCCTCATAGATATGAGATTGAAGGATGCAAGCAGCTTCAAACGCCCTCAGCAGGTCCTGTCTGGCATATCTGTTCCCATTCTCTATTGCCAGGGGTGGGGTGGGAGTGCTTAGCTATGCACAATACCTGGTCTCTAAGTTCATCATAGGACATCGCTCATCACATCCTTCCCATCTCCTTTTATCATACCCACTACAAGCAAGTCCGGCGTGAACTTGTGTACAGTCGCAATATGCACGGAATCGGCGACACTCGCAAACGGGAAGATACCGCACATAGTGGAGCACAGACATTGGGATATGCCCCTACAGTGCCCTGAATACTAGGTCAAAGGCGGAGGGATACAGCGTCGATTCGAGGCTGTCTGTCAAACATTATTTGATGAAATACTAGCAGTCGGCAGTATTGGCATGCCCACTGCATTAGAAATGGTACAAGAACTAGAACTAGAGCTAGTTTTGGCCGCCTAGATAAGACACCTAGCAGGGCAACTAGAACACTAGACACGCCATATCAACTAGTACTTGTGCTTCTAGTGAGTTGTAATCTTCCTGATGTTTCTCACATGGCGGAAAATAATTAGGGACGTTTAGGGCGCTGGATGTTAATTCTGACTGAGAATGGACCACCATATGAAGAGGCCATCCTTGCCACTTGGATATGTGTATATTGTTGACCTATGGATGCGATTTATCATTCAGGAGGTAATCTTGGTTTATATGATTGCCATTGCGTTTAGGGGAATTTGGTCAACAAACCCAGGAGAGATGGGTAATGGCCTGTAGTTGCATCAGTGGTGGATGGGGGTAACAAAGGTGTTCCATTGAGTGAAATTGGGGTGCCATAGCGCATGACATCTGATCCCTGTGAAGACCAAGTAGATAAGACGGGGAGGGGAGAAGCCTTCGTCCAAATTGTTGAGAGTCATCCGGCCAAAGTTCTAGGGGCGCCGCGAATGGGATCGGGAGACCGCTGGATAAGACGGTAGATTAGAATGCATCTGCGGGTAAAACGCGCAAATCATGTAAAGGACATGCGACCCTGCAGACCTAGAGGAACATGATATACGGTATCTGCCCAGATGTTATGTCGGATATCAGAGGGAGAGTTCGCACTAGGTTGAGGGGTCACGGTCTGAGCTGCGCAACTTGCTTGTAGTAGCTAGCATGACGGAAAGCAAATCATCGCCTAGACCCAGATATCGACTGTCCTGCGTGGCCCAAAATTGCTGCCAGCGCGCGACCATGTGATAATACTCAACCACGAGAGTGAAGAAAGCCACAAAGGCATAGTGCAGAAGTGACTTGCCCTATGACACCCTTCCGAAGATCAAGTAGGGGCGGGGATATGGCACCATCCTGAGCTTAGCGGCACTGCTATCATTTATCCTGACTCTCTCTGGCAGAATGAGTCAGTGCGACCGACCCGACATGCCTTTAATGTTCCCGACTCTTCAATGTACCTTTCAAGAGAATCCATTCTTCAGTTTTCGGTTATGTGTGACTGGGCTCTTCCGTCGATTTGCACGTCTAAATCATAGGTTCCTATTGGTCCTTTTTTTTTGGCTTTCTTTGCGAACACTTTTGGCACCCGGGGTCTGGCTCTAGAAATTTACTCGAAATGTGAAGTCTTTCAACCATGTGTCTCTGATAGCGTCCCGTTTCAACATGAGACCTACACAACTATGTGATTCGGTACTATGTCTCCACCGGTTATAATCCGCGGGCTTGATATTGAATCTTCACCTCAAGGCGGTTACACTTTCATCAGGGCGTCTAAAGGAAGCTATTCTGTTGTGGCAGTCAACAACGCCCAGTTGTCAGAATTTCCCCTTTTTTGTTCTTCTGCCCAGGCTAGTTTCCCTATAAATATGGCAGTTACTAGTGCAAGGTATGGGTCATCTCAGCTCTCCCTGTTTTGATTGATATGGAAGTAAGCAGCCTCCTCTTCTTGTCCACCTTAATATCTTCGTTGCTTCTGTGGGTCTTCGCCCTTTCGCGCCGCGGGAAGTCGATCCTACATGATTTGCGTGGGCCTGAGTCCAAGTCCTTTTGGCTAGGTGCGATCTCCATGGTTCAGTTTTCATACCCACCAGCTCACAATCATTATTCTCAGGCAATCAGCCGGAATACATGTTCCAAAAAGGAACAGGCGAATCAGAGTTCAAATGGATGGGTGCATACGGTTCAGCTTGGCGCGTTCGAGGGTGTATGGGGGTGAGCTTCTTACAGAATGGCTGTCTCTTGTTGTCGCTGAACTTTCCTTAGGAGGACCGGCTTATGGTCGCTGATCCCAAAGCACTTCAGTACATTCTGCATGCGTCTGGTCACGACTTTCCAAAGACCCCGGATGTATCCCATACCATACGAATGCTAATCGGGGACGGGATAGGCTGCACGGAAGGCAAGTACATCATGATGTTGATCACTTTTCATTCCTGAAGAACCCTTTCAGGGGAGATTCATAGACGACAGAGAAAAGTTATGGCTGCGGCGTTTTCTGTACCCCATTTGAAGGCGTTTCTCATTCAGTTTCAGTTTACCGCATCAAAGGCAAGAGGCAGTTTAAGCAATTGCAGAAGGAATGCGTTCTAATTTGAATACTAGCTCGCACAAAAGTGGAAGGACGAAATCGCCACTGATCCAAATCAGGAACCTCTCCTCAATGTATCAGAGTGGCTTTCGAGGACGACACTGGACATCATTGGAGAGGGTGAGCAATATAAGTCTAATTGATTGCTCTCGTGCTAACGCTGTCGTCAGCTGGTTTTGACTTCGACTTTGGAGCGCTGGATAATTCACACAATCCAGTGACTCGCATGTACGACAGTCTTTTGTGAGCCCGCATTAACCATAAGGAATTGGATTCGCTTGAGCTTACAAAAAACGCTCCCATCAGTGTGGACTCTCTATACCATGGTCCTCTTGATGCATTGTTCGAATCTTTCTGGCGTTACCTCCCCAAACCCATCCTCAATCTCCTCGTTTACCTTCCGCGGCGCGAGTATCGTCGCTTCCGGAATTACCTAGGCAGTATTCGCGAGGTAGCGCGAGGGATAGTACGTAAAAGTATCGTCAAGGGCGATGGCCGTGACATAATGAGCGTTCTCCTGCGCGCGAACGACTCTGAAGATCCTCGAACTAAACTCTCTGATAATGAGGTCGTTGATCAGATTAGGTAAAGTTTGGACAGTGGTTTACAATTGGCTCAATTTCCGACACGCTTCTTGCAGCACGCTTCTGTTGGCAGGGCACGATACTTCCGCAAATTCTTTGACATGGTTCTTTTGGGAGCTTGCTAAGCATCCGGAATCAGCGAGGGCCATTCACGAGGAAATCGCCGCGGTGCGAGCTCGCATTGGCTCCAGAGACTTTTCGATAAGCGATCTCGAAGGCATGTCAACGATGGTTGCTGCGCTCAAGGTGTCGTTAAAACTCAGTCTCAGCTCTGCTTAGCTAGCTAATTAACTAACTGTATTTATGTTTGTTTGCAGGAGTCCATGCGGCTACACCCGATTGTATGGCAGCTTTCGAGAGTTGCCGCTAATAATGATGTCATACCACTTGCATTTCCGATCATAACCAAGTCAGGCAAGCAGATCTCGGCGATCCCCATTTGTAAGGGTACACATATAGATATGTCGTTTTGTTCGTATAGCCGGTGAGTAGGATGTCTATGAAATCCTTATCACCGTTCGCCTTCACAAGAAGGAACACACAGGCTTCCTGAGGTGTGGGGAGAAGACGCGGATAAGTGGAATCCTGAGCGATTCCATCAGCTCGATAAGGAGAAACAGATTTCTCTGGGGTTGTACGCGAATCTGTGAGAGTCCCAGTTGATAAGTCGTTTCAAAGAAGCCCTCACGCATTTTGTTTGATAGCATAAATTTCTGTAAGTCGTTCACAAAATCATGTCGTGATGTTCATCTTGCTAAATACTCGCTCGAAAAAAAGCGGGTGGAATTCGTGGCTGTCTCGGCTGGCGGTTTGCGTACGTTGTCTCCCGCCCTCACGAGCTTCACATACATAGCCTTGACATTTGGTCCCCAAGCATCATAGAAATGCAGGCCATCGCTGCAGCTCTCCTCGAAAATTTTGAATTTAGCTTACCCCCTCAGACGCCAGAGACGCAGATCACCAGGAAACCCCTTAGGCTCATGGTGCCCATGGTAGAAGGTAGTTTCTATCCTTGGATGGGATTGAAAGTTAGGTACTTGGAATAAATCGAATAGGAGATAATCTCTTCATTTCTTCATGTAACAACACCTTTGGTTGAATCCCCGAGAATTGAATTCATGCTGTTTTTCTATAACGCTGTGCGCAAGAAAAGTAATGGTCGGATCACCTGCTATGGGGTAGTGACGCCCAAGGCATTAATGGGGTAGTGGTAACCTGGGTCGTTGCCATCGACCCGCCCTGGGTTCGATTCCCAGTTAATGCAATTTTTTTTCCTCCTTCCATATATTCACACGTCGTAGTTGAATAGACACAAGTAGCATAACGTGACAAGTCCTGTGGTGGTACATTCTATTTCTTTGGACCTCTTCACTACCTAGGTAGGTCACAGTATCGAATGATATAAGGTTCTGGTTCTGACACACGGCATAAATGGATACCAAGGTATCAATTAATTGGCTTAACCCGAAGACCCATCCAAGCGCCCTTCTCCCCATCAGCCATAGGCATCATGACATGAGACGGCTTGCGATAGATCTTTGTCTTCTCATTTTGAGGAGGAAGGGAAAACTCGAAATTCTCGAGGAGCGTAGTGATGAGGATCTGCATTTCAAGGACCCTATGGACCGTATAAGGAACCCAAAAAAAAATGCAGCTCCGCGCGTGGAACACAGCGGTGATCAAGAATTGCACTTACGAGAATCTCCAACCGATGCATGCGCGGGACCCGCTCGCTAATAACAACTGCATTAGAAGGCAGGTGTGGGTCAATTCAGTACTTACAAAAGTTCATCCTATAGTGAATCATTAGCCCAATATCGCAACATTGTAATGAAAATACGGGTACACTTACACATTGCCAAAGAGGCCGATGTTGGATTGCCGTACCCTGTTTGGATCCAAGAATCGCTCCGGGTTCCATTCATTGCTATCCTCACCCCACACCTCAGGGAGCCTGCTCCATTTAGTCACCTATCGACTCCATTCACTACGATACTCACCGATTGTAAGCCGCAGTGGAAATATCGATCGGCGTCCCTTTCTTGATAGGAATTGAAGTGATCTGCTCGCCTGACTTGGTAGTAATTGGAAACGCCAATGGAATTACGTCGTCACGAGTCGCTACCCTCGCGAGCATCCAGAAAATTGGGTGCAATCTCATCGACTCCTACGAGTATGAACAAGGATTTCATCAGAGGTTAGCGAGGAAGGCGTAACCAGGCATCACCTTGAGAGCAGCCTGAGTATATACCATGCTGTCGAGGTCTGACGTCGTATACTCCTCGCTGTTCGTCCGGGCGCGCACAACGGCTATCTCCTGTCTGATGCGTTCCTGGGCATCGGGGTGCCTTGCAACTTCATAGAAGAACCAAGTCAAAGTATTTGCGGTTGTGTCGTGCCCGGCAAGGAGAAGGGTGCTAAATTTGATAAATTAGTGAGTGAAAGTGTCAGCTGTCAGCTGGTATCTACAAAGACTTGACGCACGAGATCTGGTCGATTACTTCGTTGTCAGCCATTTTGCTCTTGGGATCCGAAGATTCATTGGCACGTAGAAGCACGCTCATGATGTCTTTCCCATCTCCATTTATCATGCTCTCCTTTATCATTTCTCGAGACATATTTCGGATGTAATCCAGGAACGAGCGGAATCGACGGTATTCGCGTGTGGGCACATAACGTACATATTCCAATAACGGCTCCGGAATGAAGTGCCAAGACTCTTTGAAAATAAGGTCGTACCAAGCGGGGTAAAGTGTCGAGTCCACGCTGGTTGTCGTTAAAATACGGGTTAGTATAAGCAATAGCAAAGACAGTGGAGGTTTACAATAAATTGTCATATTGCGCCGCCAGTGGGGTCTTTATATCGTCGAGAGACCCGAACTGGAAATCGAAGCCAGCTACAAGCGCCATCAGAATTATGAGATTGTGGCAGGAGCAGTAGCCTCCACACCTTCTCCGATAACATCGAGGGTTGCGCGTGAGAGCCATACATTCATGTTTATGAGCGGCTGGCCGGATGGATCGACAGGAATCACATCATCATTCCATCTTTGAACAAGCTTCGATGTGATATTAGATTTGGTGTTCTCCTACTAGACATGGGAAGATGCCAAACCTTGGACGCGGTCCTGTGGAACAAGGGAAGGAAGGATCGCAATTGAGGTGCATTGAAGGATGGGCTTATAATCTTCCGCTGACGTTGATGAGTCTCGCCTAGATGACTCAGGCGATAAGTGACAAGTATCAGGAATATAGAAACAATACGAACATTGAACGCAACCAATCCCTTGCCTACAACCAGCTCATTGAAGTGGGCTCTGTCTGTTGACTTGGGGTAGTGATATCCAGTCATGTGAAGGATATATTGTAGCGCCTTTGGGTCCGCTAACATTAAGTGGTCTCTCTGTAATAATTCCTCTCAAAAGAGATCAAGGACATGGGATAAGCATAGACACACCCCAAAGCATCCTGTTCTACGCCACGCTGAACCATATTCGCGCATCCACTTGAATTCGCTGTCTCCGACCTCATTCTGGTATCGAATGTCGGCCTCGCTCCCTAATAATCACCATTTAAGTTCAACGGCGATTGAAAGGTAGAAATGTGGATACATGCCAAGCCAAAACGAGGATGGTTCTGGTCCTCTGAGATGTTTGAGAGATCCACCGCGACGGCGAAAGTATATAACAGCTAGGAGAGCAGGCCCTGACAGAAGGGTAAATAATAATGCAGTTAGGTGGTCCATTCGTGGCCTTGTGCAGTTTCTCCTCACTCAGTTGTGTTTATAAACGCAGAAATGGCCTTGAATGGGAGTTGTCGGTGTTTCCGAGTGGATGTGGAATACAAATCGGTGATGCAGCTGGAGGTGCAGTCGAAAAATGGTTCACTTTTGTGCCTCCGAATCACATGATAGCACCTATGGATGTTCTTGAGGAGAAATTAGTGTGAAGGCTGGAGAATCCAAAGCGCGTTTTTGACACCAGTTCCTCTTAGAACCTCGCGAGATTGGGTAAAGTGCATATATTCCTTCTTCTTGAAAGGAGCAGCAAGAAAGGTATTGGGATATAAAGGGGCATGGAGACCGTCACACGCACGGTTCCACGTACATTGCCTCCGGAGCCAAGGTGGTCATTATAGCTTTGCTGCAGGGTCAACTCCGAGTCAGTAACAGGTAGCACATAGCCGCAAACTCCGTCAACGGAATGCAGCCCACAACAGTCTCATGGCTAAAGAGTTGTAGACGCCGTGGGTGAAATTGGATGTGAACCTGCTTTGGCCGCCAATAGCTGCCAAGTCTCTGATAAATCCCAATCGACGGGTCCTAATATAGTCACAGCGTTTGGCTGTGATGCCATGGGAGATCGCCAATCGTTGACAGGCAGCACCCAAAAACGGACTTGATTGGCTAAACGTAAGAATCGCTCGTCACGACTCCGAATTATGCTGGTGCGATATCTGTCGGACTCGGACTTGAGCCTTGCGAATATAGCAGGGCGCCCAATGAAAGGTATTGCGGCACGCGTAGACTGCGGAATCTTCAGTTTAGTTTACCAGCGCTGTCCTTCAGGGGATCCAATAATGCCCATTCACGCTCTGACTTCCTTGTTGATTGCGGGCGCCGGCAATCTAGCCAGACCGACGGTAAGTTCCTGTACCATTGGATAAATGAGATGACCACGTACAATGCCGGCCCAATAAAATGCAAATAAAAACGGATGGACATATAGGACATAATAAAAATAGAAAGCGCTTGCGAGAGTGATCAATATCCACGGCGCCTAGTGTGAGGAACTTCGACTCGAGAGCTGTAGGCCTCTTGCGGTTCTTCCTGATTCCAACTCGCACTTTCGAGTTCTCTCTCCTAGCGAAGAAACGATAATTTGAAGGGGAGCAATTGAGAAGTCTCAAGCTCACGAAGCATCACCCTGGCCCTGGGAACACGACCTCTGGTAAATAATCACGTGATATTACTGTTCCATGCACGTGCACTTTCGAATGGCGCGAGCGGACAATTGACTGCCTTTGCATGAAATATTTATACTATACTGTTTCTAACGCGGAGCTAGGACAAATAATCCTGATCCTACCTCCTGGCACCTCCTCCCCTCAGTACTTAAAAAAAAGTGTTGATACCCTGATGTATATATTTCGTGCATTTGTGACAGCGACATTCAAAACAATACCCCGATCTGACATCTATCTAACATCTATTCTTGGGTTTCTCGTATTACACTCTATCTAGGCTGGATCACGACTCATCGCACACAATGATGAAGGCTTGAATACGCAGCACGGACGGACGTCAAGACATCAGCTTTACTAATCGGCTTGATCAGAAGACCCATCCAAGCACCATTCTCCCCGTCTGCCATGAGCATCATCACGAGACTCAGCTTGCGATGAATCTTTGTCTTCTCGTTCTGAGGAGGAAGGGAAAATTCAAAACTCTTGAGGAACGTAGTGATGAGGATCTGCGTCTCAAGGACCCTATGGACATTGCCGACAATCGTAAACATAACATATTGTGTACTGCGCGTGGCGTGAGACAGTGGTGGTCGAAACGATACTCTACGAAAATCGCCAACTGACGCATACGCGGGACCCGCTTGCTAAGAATTCCTGTATCAGAAGAAGCAAGGAAGTAAGCGCGAGTACTTACCAAAGTTCATCCTATAGCGACTGGTTAGCCCAATATCACTGCGATAAAATTACGGCTCCACTTACAAATTTCCCCAGATGCCAACGTTGGACTGCCGTACCTCTTCGGATCCAGGAGTCGCTCCGGGTTCCATTCATTGCTATCGTCACCCTACACCTCGCTCCATTCAGTCACCTATCGACCCCATTCAGTCCATGCCTGCGCGATGATCGGTTCAAGCGACGCGAGTTCTGCTAGCCCTCCTCGCTAGCCCTCCTCCAATTGATAGCCTCTATCTACCTGTGGTATACAATTTGGTGTGGCTTCTCAGTGAGAGAGGGGTGTCGATTTCTCAATCACGGGTTTAATATAGGTGACCAGATTGCTTAGCTGTAGCCTACCTGAGATGATACATAAGGCTGGGGTTAAAACGTTCCTCCTTTTCTTCTAAATTGGACTGTCGGTAGCATTTCTCTACTTCATCCTGTAGGAGACTGTATAGCGAATAGCTACAGTAATAGAGTCAGCAAAGAAATGCTGTAGCTACAAGTGAAAATGGTACTAACCTCAGTCTTTGTAGTAGAAGACTGAGGTTCTAATAAATGATTAAATGCGTATAAAGTTAT